CCTGGCCCTGTTCAGGAAATGGTGGTGGCGCCTAGCCACTCAGACTGATTCCCTCTGGGCTCAGGTCCTACGCAGCAAATATAGGATTTCTGAAGGAACTTGGGTGCCTGAGAAGAGACCTTTGAGCAGGGCTTCAGAAACGTGGAAGTCATTCACCTCCTCCCTCTCACTGCTCAAAAAATTCATCAGGTTTCATCCAAGAGAAGGAACAAGAGTGCGCTTCTGGTCAGATCTTTGGCTAGGACATATGCCTCTAAGGGACCTATTTCCATCCCTTTACTCTATCGCCGCAAACAAAGACTCCACCATCGCTGAGGAAATGGTGCTGGCAAGAGGCCGAAGAGTGTGGAACTCCTCGTTAAGAAGATACCTCTCAGAAGAGAAAAGCAACCACTTGGCAGCTTTGCATCGCATTTTCACCTCAACACAAGGGAGGGACTTGATGGTATGGTCTCCTGCCCCCTCTGGTACCTTCTCGGTGACCTCTTTTTACAAAAAACTCACCCAACCCCCCACCTTCCCTCTTAACCCATCCTGTATCATATCCAAGGTCTGGTCCACTATAGCCCCTCCTAAAGTGCAGACTTTCAATCGAATAGCGTGCACCCAAAGGGCACTCACAGTAGACCAGCTTCAAAAGAAAGGGGTTCCAATCCCCAACAAATGTGCCATGTGTTTGACTGAGGAGGAATCGAATCCTCACCTCTTCGTTCACTGTAACCTAGCCCACAACCTTTGGGGTCAAATATTGGAGTTGTTTGGCTTCCAATGGGTTACACCCCCAATGGTGAAGGAACTTATATCCTCGGACCACGCATCACATTGGCGGAAGGCTGGTCGAACCTTATGGAAGGTTGTCGTGGCAGCCACTGTATGGGTATCTGGGTAGAAAGAAACGCCAGGATATTTTTTTTTTTTAAAAAGGTTAACTTAAGAAACGCCAAGATATTCCAAGGCCATTATACCCAAGGCTCAGCACTTTTTCACAAGGTTACAGCCTTAGTAACTTTTTCGGCCTCCAACCACAAGATCTTTTCGGGTATCTCTGTGAACACTTTCCTCAACCAATGGGAAAATATCCTGTACCACCAGCCACGAAAGGTGTAAAGAACAAACAACTGGCTGCCACCTCCATAAGGTACCATCAAGCTTAACTTTGATGGGAGTTCTCTAGGGAACCCCGGCCCTGCAGGAGCTGAAAGTGCCTTCGGAGAACATCATCGCAATATTTTGTTCACCTACTCCGAGCAGCTAGGCCACGAAGACTCTCAGTATGTTGAAGCCATGGCCTTGCTGTTGGGCCTCAAGGCTTCAATCAGTCTTGGGGACGGCACCTTCTAGTAGAGGGAGACGCAAGTAATATCATTTCATGGGCAAGTAGGAGGTCAACACCTCCAGGGTACCTCGCTTCGATCTTTGATGACATTGCTTACATTTGCAGGGATATGGTTGTCTTTTGGAAGCATATCTCGAAGATGTCAAACGAGTTCGCCGATCTCCTGGCTAAGGACAAGACTAGGACCCAGGGACAAAACCAAACCCAATCCATCTCTTTTTTTGCTCTGGACCGCAAAGGGTACACTTAGTAGAACATCTCTTTGTAATCAGGTATACCGATAAGCCCATTTTTTGTAACCACACTGTAAATCTATTGTAATCGGGTAGATCTCTAAGCCCATTTTTGTACAGGGGGTCTGATGACCTATGTTTTACCGGGAGACCCGTCAAGTGGGTACTCTCGGATTACCCCACAACTATACTTCAACTGTATATAGCAATACAAAAGTTAACCATTCTCAAAATAAAACTCTCCACTATAAGTCTCTCATGCATTTTATCTCTTCTGCCCTTCAACAACTACCTACAACCTAGTTTGTCTATAAGGTACAACTGGATCTATGGTTTTTCTTAACTTATTTATGGTTACTCAAAAGAAAACAAGCTCATATTCCAAACTCCACATGTTTAGTTGCACCCTTTCAATCTTCTTGCTACAAAAACACAATAATTATTTTCATGATTTGTGGAATGCATATGCATTTACATGCTGATCATCAAAGGGTTTTTGTCAAGATTCCCCTTTACACGATGTCCTGAATGTGATCCTCATCTCTAAGCCTTGGACCACCTTATGCATCTTCTTGTTAGGATCAAATCCAAGCATGAGGAGAATTGGTTTAGACTCAAGACCAAATACATAAAAAATAAATATAAATAAAAGAAAGAACATGCCCATTTTTCAGGACACAAATAAACGAGGCTGTTCAGCCGAATTTAATGAGCATGTAACTAGTCACGTAGAATGCCATAAGAAGAGAACAAGTAAGGTTCATGCAAAATGGACCCATGCTAATGTACCTACTTGTTAGCAGTATACAAATATCAGCCTTCAGACTGACAAAAGGTAATATGTTGTTCTCTCATTAGATATTTTAGACATCTCGATGAAAACTACTAAATATTGTAGACAATCAATCATGTTGTGGTTTCTTGCTCAAGGGGTGAGAAATAGCAATATCATTACACACACTTGTGCAGTCATCCTGAAATGCCCTTACAAAGGAGGGGGAGAGGGTGGGAGGTTATTTATCATAATTACCTCCAACAAAAATTACCAAGTATTCCATGTTGCTTTCAATGGCCAACTCGAGATTCCCAAGCATTGTTATCATGCAGTATGTGCCAAGAGGCACATCGCAAAACAACACATATAAGCTTTGGTGGGATGCGCCTGCATAGCGCATATGCGGCACATGGTGATGCGAAAATACACCCATGAAAAGGGGTATTTAAGTAATTCCCCCCCCAAAAAGAGGAGGGGAAGTGTTTGGGGAGTATTAAACCCACCGAAAACATCAATAACAGCTACGAACGTGACTTTTTGCATCCATTTGATAATGAAAAATAAAATAAAAAAGAAGGATTTGTGTTTTTGAAAAAATATTTTGATTTGGTCTTGGTGGATTTTTGCTTGTTGATTGGGATTAGTTTGGGTGGATTCCAGGAACTTTGAGCGAAGATTCGACAACATTTTGAGAGTTTCAAGGGCCGAGAAGGTATCAATATTTTCTTCAATTAATCAATAAGTTTCTATTTCGTAGTATATTAATAATTTTTTGGGCCAATATCTTCTTCACAATCTTCTAGTAACAAGGATCCAGCTAGGAAATATACAAACCTCAAAAATCCAAAAGACCAAAATTGTATTGTTTGTACCATTGTGGAAATACTTATATGGCGAGTATTAACCTATTTTTTTCTGTGCAATAACCTATTCTTTGAGATTTTTTAGAAATTTTTTAGATTTATTCACCGCATCCAGGTTATGCACCCGCATCTGGACCGCATCGAGCCACATCACCGCATTGCCCCCTGATTGCATCGCCCCCCTAACCGCATTGAAACCGCATTTTAAAGGATGAGGTTTCCACAAGGCTTAGGTTTATGAAAACAAAATAAAGCCTCACCTCAAATCCTTGTCTGAAAAGTACTTTCAGCGATAGAAATCTCTATGATGGCTCTAAAATCAATTTTCAACACCGACAATAAAATTTGAAACTCAAAAAAGGGTATAGATCTTGCGGATTGTTAACACTTATATTTAAAGAAAAATGGACAATCTAGATAATTTGGTGCTCATCACCTGGTGCTTACCAGGTGGACGCTTAATTTTAGGCAGGCGAACAGGGCTGTGGGCCCTTTTCCATCTTTCAAGTAGCCCCTAAGTGCATTTTGCGTAGTGTGGGCCCTCGAATTTGTTTTAAAAGAGTATTGGAGGGGTATTTAAAACCCCTAAAATAATAATAATAAATAATAAATAAAACCACTATACGAATATGGTGAGTTGGAGACTAACACAGTAATACACTACGGATTTTTGTAAGTGTGTTCACTAAATTTACTATGACTTGAAGTTTTAAACATGTTTATTCTTAGCATGCAATGTTTGTATGAAAAACGTTATTTACAGTACATATAAATACAAAACATTACAAAATTAGCACAAATATTTGCATATATGTGCGTTTGGACAGCACATGTATGCATATATATGAAGAATTTTCACTACAAGGAACCTGAATTTCTGGGCATCCTCCTAGGTGTTGGGCACTAGGCAGCAGACCAGCCTCCTAGGGGCCGCCTAGTATTTTTTGAAACGTTGACAGAATCGATTCAAAATCTAAACCTCATTCATATCTCTGATGTTGAATAAAAGCAGTGTGGCAGTTTGCTAACATATTAATAAAAATTCCACTCCCTAGCGTGAATTAGGTATCCTGAATGCATGCCTTGTTGTTCAAAGCAAACTGAACATGTATACTATCTTAGAGAAAACCATAAATTAACGTAGCTATTGAATTAAAGAAATAGGCATCACATACGAATGGAAATCAGAGGAAAGTACCCTCAAGAAGAACACCGCAATTACAATCAAAAAACGATTTCAATGGCATAAAGTGTTCAGATTCACCATAATAAAAGCATATGACCATGCTGTTATATTTTTGCTTTGGAAAAATACCTTATGACCAGGCCATATGCATATAACTGTATCACATAACCGCATATGCTAACTTATATTTTGGCTTTGGAAAAATACATTATGACCAGGCCATATGGCTATAACTGTATATGCCAACAGAAAATAAAAGGATACTAATCCTAGCAAACGACACTGAAGCTAACAAAAAAGCAATCCAACTTAGCTTAGGCAATCACGATATAGAGTACATTTATTCCTAATAATAGACATCAAAGCAGAGAGTACTTTGATGCATGATGCTTTATTGGACAAGTAATTGAGATAACAGCTATTATACAAATAATATTAATGGAGTTATGGAGAAAAGAAACCGTGGTATTAAAAAATATATATAAATCAACAAATACAGAGCAAGAAAATACGACATAAATCGAAGCTTCAATATCAGGACCAAGGAAATCAGAAATCCACAACAAAAACACAGATCAAAGAAAACAAACAAAGCCATGATTTGTACCTCTCCAGTGTGGCCAAAGCAGGAGTTCAGGTAATTCTCATCCATCCAATACTGAAGATCCCCAACCCAGAGACTCTTATTTTCTTCCGAGGACTGAGCTTGCTGCTGTTGTTGTTGAGGCTGTGGCTGAGGTTGAGGATATGGCAGGAAGTGTTGAGGATAGTGCTGGTAAGGTTGTTGATGCATCATCTGGTGTGGAACCACCATTGCTGCAGGGTAAGGCTGCTGCATTTGCATAGCCATCCATTGTTGTTGTTGTTGCTGCTGAGGATCCATAACGACAGGGCCAGCTCCTGGTGTGGACTGCATCATTATTTGATTGATTCCCAAAAAAATCCTACAAATCTCTCGAAAGAGGAGACCAAACCCTAGAAAAAAAGACCCTAAATCGTCGATGAAACCTTACAAATCCTCCGTAAGAGAGCCCTAAAATAGTGAGCAAAAGGCCTAAAGATCTCTCGTGAAAACCTTAAAAGAAACTTTGAATCTCTTGTAAAAACCTAAGATGGGAATTTGAAATGGAGATTTTAGGGCAACGAAGGCAGGGTGGAGGTCATTACAGGGCCTGGCCTCGAAGAACCAGGTTTCAAAAGGGTCGCCACGAAAGAGCGGTAGAGCTTATATAAAACGATAATACGTATGGGGGCTTGTGATATTTGAGGACCAGCTGTGGCCGTCCGATGCACATGGATCCTCTCGTCTGGGGTGCGGATCATGAGGACAACAGATCGACGGCTGTCGTTAAGCGTTTAGATCCGCGACCAGAGGTCACCCTAAATTTCTTTTCCTTCGGATATAGATGAGGCCACTGCGACGAAGCGTGTCTATCATCCTCGTCGTACGGATTAACACGCGTGAGCTTTTTTTGTACTATGAACTCTTTAAGCTAGTTAAAGATCTCGATAGCTTATTTTGGACTATGAACTCTTTAAGCTCGTTAAACTGAGGTAGACCAAAGAATAATATAAATTAGTAATATCATTTTTAACGAAAACTTTAGGAAAAAATACATAAATATCTATTTAATTTACGTTAATACCAAAATACTGAATATTTTATGTTATTAATGATATGTATGTTTTCTCAACTTTATAACAATTTGTAAAAAAAAAAATGAAACTACTTATTTTTGGTTTTTCAAAAACCGAAATTATGCCAATTTTGGTTTTTAAAAAACAAAAAATTTTAAATTTTCAGCACTTCAGAAACTTTAAGAAAAATTTCTCTCTCTTGTGGGTCCTTTGCATATTCTCTCTCTACCTCTCTCTCTTTATCGACTAATCAATTTCAAAAACCAAATTTTTTTAAATTCGATTTTTGAACAACTGAATTTTTTTAAATTCTGTTTTTGAACAACCAAATTTTTTTTTGTTTTTAAAATACTCTCTCTCTATACCCTTCCTTTCACCCATGTTTTACCCTGTCTTTTCTCTTTAAACTCTTCCATATCTTTTCTATCTGTACATTTGCATAAATAGCAGCCACAAAACTTCTCTCTCAGAAAAAAAATAAAACCCCTCTCTCTCTCTAAAAAAAAATCTAAACTCTCTCTTCCTCCCTCTCCCTCTCTCTCTAGAAAACTTGCAATACTCCAATACTCCCTCTCCCAACCTCTCTTTCTCTTTCTAAGAAAACCTAGAAAACTTACATAGAAACTTAACCCTAGCCTAACCCCCTTTTTCCTTGTGGGTCTCCCAAGTTCAACAACTAGCAGGAGTTCCAAATCAATCTTCCTTACTGTCTGCCCGAACAACTAGAATCCAAGCAAGGCTGAGCGAATAACATAACAAAGAGCAATGCTCGGGCACCTAACAAAGAGCAATGTCGGGAACTACCTCCCTTCAATCCGTCTTCACCAATCCCTCCTAATGATTTGTTATTGAGGACGAAACTCGAACTACAAACAAAGAAATTGTTTGAGCCCTTAGAGCGTCAAACTTTGCGGGCTGCTCGTCCCTTCGCGTCGACAAGGAAACCATTGACAACAATGGGTTTAGAACATCGTCGAGTATCACATCATTGGGCCAACCCCCCAAGGAAATAGAGAGAAACTTACCCAGAGTTCCAAAAAAAACTATTTTTACCCCTATAATGTTGAGAGAGAGAATACGCAGAGGACCCACAAGACAGAGAAATTTTTTTTCAGTTTTTCAAAAACCGAAATTGACCTGATTTTGATTTTGAAATACTGAGAATGGGTAGCTTCGTCTTTTTTAAAAAAATTGTTATGAAGTCTAAAAAATAGACATATCGGTAATAACGAAAAGCAATTGATATTTTGGTAATAACGGAAACTAACATGAATATTTATGAAATTTTTCCAAAAATTTATGGGGAAAATATCTATGTACCCTCTAGTTTTAGATTTCATATATCAATATATCTTGGGAAAAAAAAATCCTTAGTTATAATCCCTAAACTAACTTTATCAACTTTAAACATAATTTTTTTAGCCCAAACAAATATGAGAAACACATATCTTTTTTAAATCATATCCTTTCTCTCTTCACATGATATTTCTCAAACTTCTCTCTCCCCTATGGCTCTCCAACAACCCCTTCTCTCTCTATATTTCCCCCTCTCTCTCTCCATATCTCATGCAAAATCCAGAGTGTTCAATGGGGATAAAATATGTTTTTGCCTCCCAATTGTTAGAATTGGGTCATGGAAAGATGATACCTTCATTAGTTTGAAACATGAGAGATGGAGGGTATAAAAGGTGGATTTGATAACCATGTATTTTTTTTAGATGGGATGTGGATAGCCAATTTGGGTTATGCATTTTTAGAGCTCTTATTGACAATGGCTACCAAATCCCATTCTATTTATCTCTCTCTCTAAATCTTATGCATAATTGGCATATGTAATTTGATAAGGATTGTGTTGATTTTGTGTTTGGCATCTCAGTCCTACTTGACATCATTGAATGTGAAATTGGCATTTGGGTTCCTCACAATATCATGGGTATTGATTTATTATCTTTGAATTTTAACCATCTGAGGTCTAGAAAATTCAGTATCTATGATTAAGCAGATACTTGGAAAGCTTCCTCGCAGTCCATCAAAATCAAGTAATGTCGAGAAGGAGTTGGGAAATTATATCCCCAATGCACCCTACAGATTTTGTATGAGAGATGAGGAGAGAGAGGGGGGAAATACAGAGAGGAGAGAGAAGTTCGAGGTGAGGAATATCACGTAAAGAGAGAGAAATGTTATAGTTTAGAATGTTGAAAAAATAATAAATAAAAAGACCAATTTGGTTAAAAACGATAGAGAGAGAAAGATATGAAAAAAATATTTTTTGTTGTAAAGCTTCTGGATAACTAGAGAGATGGCCAACGACTCTGAGATTTTTCTCTGCGTCCTGTAATGGGTGAGTGTGCCCCTTTTATAAGCATTGAAGCTTATTCCCTTGCCACATATGGCAGGTTTTTCATCCAACGTTCCAGATTTCTCTATGCCCATATCAATAGTTAAGCCTTCTTTTTTTAATCATTCTCTCTCTTACCTCAAAGAAAAACATTTGGTTTAATGTGACCATTAGGATATCATTGATGGTTGGTTAAGAAAAAGAAAGAAAGAGAATGAAATATACCATAGAAATAGTCAAAGGATTTGAATGCAATAAGACCATTATAATAAGTATATAATATAATTAAATTGAATTTAATGCATTTAAAAATAGAAAGTAAAAGATGGACCATTAACATTATGGTGGTCATGAGGCCTTAGTGGCCATATTTCAACATTCCCATTTGGCCAAAAGGCCGAATGTACCAATGTTGGTAAGTCACAAGATTTTGCATGTTTAATGTTTTACCCAATGTCACATACTTCACTACAAGATTTTGTCCACCTACAGGATTTAATCTTTTGTAGCATTCAAAACATGTCTCTTGGGAAGAAAAAACTATATTTCCTTAAGTCCCATCATGGTCAGTGAATCCATTTGTTAAAGAGTTTGCTATCATATCATTGGAAGACAAATAACTTATTATAATTTCTTTCTTTTCTACTCTGTCTAGGATATAGTAATAATCAACTTCTATGTGTCTACCCTTAAAGCTTATTGCTCCATTTTTAATTAACGAAATTGCAGTCTGGTTATCACAAAATATCTGAACTAGCTCGTCGGCTATTTCCAGTTTCAAATCCTTAATGAAGCGACTTATCCATATGGCAAAGTAAAAGCTATACTACAAGAAATGTATTCTGCTTCCATTGTGCACCGGGCAACACATTCATGTTTCTTACTAACCCACTGCGACCCTCTATAAATGCTCGAAAGGCCTCCCTTAGATTAAAAGTTCTATTGGGTTTCGATTATTTGCAATGAGGCTTGTTGCCTTCAATTAAAATTTATCCTTCATCTTAGTGATATGTTGAGGTTATTACTTGCTACTCAGTTTAAGTAGATCTGTGACTCTCCATTGATTAAAGGGGCATTGTCATCATCGTTCGAAAAGTTGGTAAATCATTCATCGAGAAAGTGATCAATTGATCTAAGCCTTGAATTTTGTTGATATTCCTATAGTTTTTTGATAGCATGGATGCTAGATTGGTGATGAGTGAACAATATAAAACCGAAAACTTAATGGGTCAAACTTCAATATGTGGAAAAGAAAAATGAACTACTTATTGATTCAAAATAATATGGACTATATTTTGACTTCAACTAAACCTAAATTGGGTTTAAACCCCTCTGCCCATAGTAGAAGAGAACTTGCGAAATGGAATAGGAATGACAAATTAACAAAAACTACATTGTTTACTTTTATGAAGGATGATTTGATTAGAGTTTTTGCATATTATGAAACATCCAAATTTATGATCGAAGGTTTGATTGAAAAATGTGGATCTACATCTTAATCCCATATTCAACTTTTGTTTGAAAAATATAATTCAAAAAATGAATTTGTGGTAGAGCATGTTAATAAAATGATTGTTCTTGCTAAAGACCTTGCTGCGATGGGAAACCTCATTCCTGTGCGTATGCAAGTATCAACTGTATTGAGCAGTCTCTCACATTCATGGGAACCTCTAGTCACTGCTCTTAATCACTCATCCCAAGGAAGTGCCATGTTGAAATTACCCATGCACCTGAGTATAGAGGAAGAAGAAGAAATAAAAAGGGAAATGCAAAATTGCACTGTGCCCAAAATTCCTCCAAAAGTGATCACCCTAGACCCTACAATAATCAAATTAACAAAAATCAATTTAAAAGAAATAGTAAGGTTTTCAAACCACAAAGAGAAAAGACCTACAATAACCCACCCAAATATTACAACTGTGGAGAGATAGGGCATATTAAACCTAAATGTCTAAATAAAAATATTTCCAATAATAGCTACCTCATGAACAATGGACAAATGAGCAACCACAAGAATAATGCCTGTCGTTTCTAAAGCTGGGGAAGTTTTGTTGAAGACGGTGGTTTTCTATTTGAGTTCTATTCATGAAACAATTAATCTACACATGGCATAATCACCATAGAGGACAACTTCAAAATTTAGAGGCCCCACTACGAATCCCCATGCACAACATATCTTTTGGGGACCAGTATGGCAACGTTTGTTATGTAGGTTAATGCGAGAAATATTGAGTATTT